GTAGAGACGAGAGGTCGACTTCGAAACTTACTAGTGGTCCAATAATAATATACCAATAATATAGTAAATCAAGGATTTTTATAAACATGGCTGTAACTCAATAGAATGAAATAAGTAAACAATTCTTTTATTCGTAGAAAATTTCCAAAATTTCCTTTTCATCATTTATACATTTATTCTCAATCCGGGGAAGCAATATCATCATTTATAAATATCAAGGCAAGCAATACAAGCATGAGCAAATCATGCCGAGGACGTACGACCTGATCCAACAATATTTGAATTGTGCACTGCCAGAGGGTTGAATGGCGCGAACCATAGATGCATCTATTACCCGGCTCGCAAATACGAGCGACGCGGTCAAATATAAAAAATAGAGTTACCCTGCTCGCGAATCATGCGTGCGACACAGGTACTCATAGATACACATATTCAAACAGTGGATTAAGAATTCATCAGGCAACATTTATCCAAGGAAAAGTCATTTCTCTTTTACGTTTAAGAAAACGAAGTTTAACTGTTTTTAGAAATTCATTTACTAATTCGTATGATTTAAGCTATTGAAATTGTCAACCAGGTTATAGATATTTCAAGTATAGCATGCTTTTGGGTCCTAGGCTACCCGGACATAAGCACAATAGTAGCTACGCACGAACTCTCGTCACCTCGTCCGTACGTAGCCCCCACAAATAGACGCACATATCCAATTATTTCACCTATGGGGACAATTCCCTCTTACAAGGTTAGAAAGGAGACTCACCACGCTCCAAAGCCTATGTCCCTGTTCAAGAACGCGCCAAACCTCCAAATCGGAGCCGAACGATCCAGCAACTATTCAAATGGGGTAAGAACTAGTCAATACATGCTCAAGAGTTCATATTCTAATTATTAAACTAATTCCCCAACCCTAAATGCAAGGTTCCTAAAATTCATTCCGGGCCCACGTGCCCGGATTCCGAAATTTTTTTGAAGAAAGTTGTTACCCATAACCTAATGATCAAGAATATATGATTTCTACTAAATTCTATAACAAATTTCGTGGTTAAATCTCATTTTTGTCAAAACCCTAGGTTCTCACATAAACCCTTGATTTTCCCTAATTTTTACGTGTTAATTTACCCATAGTCTATGCATTTAACTCATGTTGTGTAGAAAGTACTTACCTCAAAGTGCTAGGTGAAAACCCTCTTCCAAAAGCTCCAAAAATCGTCTAAGAGGATGAAGTAAAATGAAATAACGGCCTAATTCCCGCGTTAAAAGAGCGGACACAGCCCTCTGATGTCACATTTGCGGCACCAGGTTCCCAAATGCGACAAAAGCCTCGCAAATGCGAAGCCTGGGCTCAGATGTTGGGATCACAAATGCGACCACAGAGTCACAAAAGCGAAATCTGCTGGGATCACAAATGCGGCCAATGTGTCGCAAATGCGAACATTGCCATGGTCGGGCTTCATCGCAAATGCGAAGCCTTCATCGCAAATGCCAACCGCGCATTTGCAAACAATTTCTCGCATTTGCAAGACCTGCAACTGGTGCCAAGAACACCAGAAAATCTGGTGTGCTCCCAACTCCTCCCAACCCCATCCAATCACACAGCTCAGTCCCATAACATGACACGAACCTGCTCGACGCCTCAAATCACGTCAAACAATGCTAAAACCATGAATCACACTCCAATTCAAGCTTAATGAACTTTAAAATTTCAAACTTCTACTTTTGTTGCTTAAACCTATCAAATCACGTCCGATTGACCTCAAATTTTGCGCACAAGTAATATTTGACATTACGGACCTATTCCAACTCCCGGAATCGGATTCCGACCCCGATATCAAAAATTCCTCTTCCGGTCAAACTCCTCAAAAACCTTCAAATTTCTATCTTTAGCCAAATGACTCCGAAATGACCTACGGACCTCCGAATTAACTTCCGATCGCGCTCCCAATACCAGAATCACCATACGGAGCTATCCCCATACTCGAAATCCCAAACGGATATTGATAACACTGAAAGGCACTTTAACCCAAACTTAGGAAACCCTTCCAAAAATGCTAACTTCCACAATAGGTGCTGAAGCGTTCCCGGGTCTTCCAAAAGCCGATCCGGACAAACGCACAAGTCCAAAATCATCAAATGAACCTGCTGGAACCGTCGAATCCTGATTCCGAGGTTGTTTACTCAAAAATCCAATATTAGTCAATTCTTTCAACTTAAAGCTTCCGAAATGAGAATTCTCTCTCCAAATCAACTCCGAACTTCCCGGAATTCAATTCCGACCATGCGTACAAGTCATAATACCTGAAGTGAAGCTGCTCATAGCCTCAAACCGCTGCATGACGCGCTAGAGCTCAAAATGACCGGTCGAGTCGTTACATTCTCTTCCCACTTAAACGTACGTTCGCCCTGGAACGTGCTAAGAATTGCCTGTAGTCGTCCGAAATCACTGTTTAACACCTCGTGCACCTACCCGTGCTTCTACAACCCAGTTGAGCACATTAGCTCGATCAATTTTGAAGATATTCCCTTTTATTCAAGAAAATAAACTTAGAGCCTAATTCCAACATCGGGAATTCTCCGCCAGGCCTGCTTCCAACATATGAACACCGTATCAATCACTAAACGAGGTACTAGAACATGACTGCATACCTTTGCTGAATTCTCACCATGCACCACATCATTCACAGGACCATAATAACATTCTCTGATCATAATAACCAACATTCCCTGAATCTGATGCTCACAATGCAGTTCATGATATATATAAGTCTTGTTCCAACTCTCGCAATACCGCCACGACGGAAGAGATATGTAGAAATTTATACCAACTGCCAAGTTAACAAATCGTTGAGTCTATACTTCCGACAAGAACCATTACCTCATTTTGAACCAAATAATGATCTTTGCTCTTTAATATACTTCATATAATCCGACTGCACTGATCCTAGATCCAATAATCTTGTCTCACCCAATATGAATTGCTCAGGATATAAGCCACCCCGGTCGTGACCAAAAGTCCCAGATGATGTCGTAACGTGCCAATAGGCTCTAAGCTCGAACGTGATACATAAGGAAAAGGAACTCAGGAAGGGACTACTCAACTCACGCAACTAATATGAACTTTCCTCAGAAAATGGAAACAAAATACACAAAAACAGATATAGGGAATTGTACTCAACATCACACTGTTGCGGCGTGCAACCCGATCCAAACAACATGCCCATGGCGGCGCACCACCCGATCCACACATAAAATTCACATAAGGAGATACACACCGAGCTAAATTGCTCATTACAACAAAATATTAAATATCGGTCACAAGCATGCTAAGTGCATAATACCATCCCTGGGGAGACATACAACGCCGTATGCTAATAAACTCAAGCACAACTGAGGTGCGATACATGTTCTGAAACTAATGAGCCATCCTGCTCACATAACACCATTGCTAGGTGGAACCTCAACACATAAGAAAATTATCGAGCCGTTCACAACTCACACGGCACAATATAGCATTACATGAAATAGCCGACGACGAAATAACATCCAACGTTCGAATACTCCTCCATAAGGAGCGCTATGCTGAAATGAACACATACGGCCTGATATAGAGCCCATAAAAGAGTAGCACATAACATAGGCTAGGGGCACAAATAATCTCCATTTTTCCTGATAACATAACCATAATAACAATCTCACAGGAGCACACAAACTTGACCTGATACAAAACACATATTCTCGTTGAGCTTCCAAATAGCCCCCAACCAAATCCTGATCCTTCCCAATTAGGTAAATATTCTTCAAAAATCCACAGCAACCTGTCGATAATGCATACTATTAATCATCCCATTCTCAACATTTCTTCACAATCCGCAATCAGGAAATAGTCCACACATGAGGGCATCTAGCCCCAAAACCTCGGGAATACCAAAATTTCCATACCCAAGCTCAATTACGCAAATCAAATGGCTGATACATCACTCACACCCTATCATTCTGCTGACGCACTCATATAGAGTTTCTGGCCTCGTAACAAAACATGAACCTCGAAAGCCTCAAAACCCAATAATCACCATGCTACTAGCCACGCACCCGCAAACCAAAACTCAAGGTCCTTTCCAAAAATGCACACTCTTCACATATGATAGCCAACAATGCCAACACCCTATTAATTTCTTATACCTATTCAGGAGAAATCCACAATGTACAACATATTCTTTACGCCCATAGCAGCCATCCGACTTAAGCCGTTGCCCAAACCATCGAAAACTCCCCGAGATCCACTCGCACGTAACTAAGCCATTAGAACTGCATATCCCCAACTCAACCGAGTCACACAAACCATCCAATACCAGAGTGTTGCCACAAATGCCAGTAGAGAATTCCTATTCAAAGGACCAATTACTTGCATTGCCATGCTGACCCAACACCACGGAACTGACCCATTTCTTTAGATAGTCGATATGCAATAATCCCAATCAAATCCCCAACTACAGATGATCTTAACACGAACCACATAGCCTAGAAGCTCATAAACCACCGCATTTCCTCTAAAGCACCCGGTTCTGCCGCAACCACGATGCCCACGTTGAATAGACCTTCTCTGAATCTGAAGTTGTTCCTCCGACTCCCCTTGATACTAAAATGTAGATTCATTAATGACGCAGAAACACCATAAGCCCCAACATCATCCCGTGAAAGATCTTAGAACTTAGTCATACACAAAATCCGAGAACCTACCCGATACCTCATATACACATACCTCAGGCCAACACTGACGTAAATCTGACTCTGCAATCTGAATGCTGCTAGTGGACTCCTCCACTTGGCGTGAAGCCATATAAAACATCATCTGATAATCCGCAAAACTAACCTTCACAGCTCGAACAACACAAATCATAAGGTACTCCACTACCACCAACTATCCCCAATCAACACCCACCTCGTGACCTTGCCACAATCGCGATGACTAGTCTACCAATTATACCTTTCCAAGCTCGCACTCATCAATCAGATGCCAGAAACCGTTGTGCCTCCATATGAACAACTGAATAGTCTCTCAATACCTCTGTATCTTCAGTATGGACAACACATTGAGACAATGTCTGAGCATCCGTGACTCCCTCGTAGCCCGTTTGTAGCATCACGAACCACTGGCGCATAGCGGACACTGAAAGCGTAATATCATACACGAGTGGATGTAAAGGAACATAAGTTATATACTTCGAGCTGAATCAATATTGCACGATAAGGAATGAAAGAAGTGGAATTTCCTAATAGTTCTGTAGCCTCTCGAAGATAAGTACAGACGTCTCCGTACCGATCCGCAAGACTCTACTAAACCTCCTTATGACTCGTAGCACCTATGAACCTAGAGCTCTGATACCAACTTGTCACGACCCAAAATCCCTTCGAAGGAGTCAAAATGGCAGCTAGTCTCTAAACTAGGTAAGCCTAACATTTATAGAAATAACATTGATATTCACTAACTTCGAATTAGATAACTCTGAACAAATTACAATTCCCAAAACCGGTGGTACAAGTCATAAGCCTTTCTAAGAGTAGTTATACAAAATAAATACGTCACTATTCCAGAATAAAAGGAACAAATGGAAATAAGTACAAATGAAGGTGACTCTGAGGCTTGCGAACGCAACAACAGGTTTACCTTAAGTCTCCACCGCGACGATCCGCATAGCTACTACCGATCAGATACCTGGATCTGTACAAAGAAAATGTACAGTAGTGTAGTATGAGCACACCACAGTGGTTCCCAGTAAGTATCAAGACTAACCTCGGTGGAAGTAGTGACGAGGTACAGTCAAGACACCTACTGGTCTAATAAATTGAACATGATATAGTAACAAACTAACAATGGTAAAGGCAACAAAATAATACCAATAATAGGGAGAAATAAAACTATAAATAGCAGAGACAATAAAAGGGAACCTGAATGGTAATGCAAGATAGACAAGTAAATTAACACACACAGACGAGTAAAATGTACTCAAATAAGGAAGGCGATGTTAACTCAATCAATCATATCATTTCTGATGCACAATTCCAAACATCTCAAAACTCAATGTCTCATATCATAACCTCAATTTCCAAATCTTTAGCACACATGGCACCTTGTGCCTACATATTTCTAGCTCACTTTGCACAACGTCATCCTCATGCTACTCAGTACGTAGGATCCATAACCAATGCAATTAAGATGTTAAAGGAGTATCATTTATATAACATAAAGTAGAGTACAACTTCTAAACCAATTAGGAAATCAGCAAGAAAAGATGAAGTTATTTTTAGAAATCATCTGAATAAAGAAAATACCCTTTTCAAAGAAAATACAACATCGAATGAACTATTACCTTTAATATAGGATTTAATAAATTAAAACTTAGTAGAAATTCCTTTTTAAGTAGGATTCAATATCATCGGGTTATGGAAATTTAATTGAGAAACTAATAGAACATAACATTTATAGGAATTTGAATTATTGAAAGGTGTATATATACACGGCGAGTTCAAATTTAAGAGGCATATATAACAGCGTAATACTAATTCCTTTATTTTAAAATCACGATATTACTATTAACTTAACAGGACAGGAGGAAATGATTCAACTTAGTAAATTTACTTCAAAAATTAATTTACCAGAGTAATAGTTTCAGGGAAAGAATTCAAGGAACAACGGCAAGTCATCAACTCAATGCCAATAACCCTATCCTCACAACTCAATAAAACCCGAAATACTGAATGTCAAAGTCTAAAACAAATGAACTAGGATCTTCTCAGTATTCAGCTATAACCAAATCTTAAATGAAATATAAAACCACTGAATAACTTGTACAGTCAAAGAGGAATATATATATATATATACCTTAACAATTACAATAAGAGTAAATATTATATATATCACCATATCAGTAACAACATGATCATTCACCCTTATTACTCCTTGTTGCGGCGTGCAACCCGATCCCACACGTCCACCCTTATTACTCCTCAATATATATCACCTTTATTCCTCCTGTTGCTGCGTGCAACCTAATCCCACCTGTCCACCCTTCTTACTCCTTGTTGTGGCGTGCAACCCGATCCCACCAGACAACATCAATTCTCCCTTATTCCTCCTCAACATATCAACAACCTGTAACGACCCGACTGGTCGTTTTGAACAATTTCATCCAGTTTGGTAGTTTGAGGTCACGAGTAGCTTCATATTATGTGTATCGACTTACGTGCGCAGTCCCTGCGTGAAACCGGAAAGCTTTTATGTGAAAATATGAAAAATATAGTAATTCTAGAGTTAAAATTTGGTTTTTAGTTGACTTTGGTCAATATTTTTGGTAAACGGGCCTGGATCTGTGTTTCGACGACCCCGGGAGGTCCACGGTAAAATAGGGGACTTGGGCGTATGCCCGGAATTGAATTCCGACGTCCCTAGCCTTAGAAAATAATTTTTGAAGAAAATTGTTGTGCTGATTTTTAAAGGAAATAAATAAATAAATAATGTTTGAACTCGTTGTTATCGGGCCTGTGTTTTGGTTCCGGAGCCTGGTACAAGTTTTTAATGATATTTAATTCCTATCTGTGAAATTTGGTGAGAATCGGAATTGATTTGACGTGATTTGGACGTCCGGTTGAAAAGTTAGAAAATCATGAGTTTTGAGGTTAAATTCATAGTTTTTGATTTTATTTTGATGATCTGATCACACGATCAAGTCCGTATGATATTTTTAGACTTGCGTGGATGTTTGGTTTGTAGCCCCGAGGGTTTGGGTGAGTTTCGGATAGGTTTAGGCTATGTTGCGCTTGTTTTTGTGGTGCTTCATCGTCGTTTCTTCAAGCAAAAATGATACCACATCGAGCAAATGAGATCCAAATTCAGTTTTTATTGAACCATTGATCTGTATCAAAATTATAGAGCCACAGGAAAAAGAATCATCGAATTTGGACATCGTATGAGGAAGTTATGCTCATTTTTGTGTCGGGAAAATTGCTGGTTTCTGGTGTGGTCGCAAATGCGAACTTTTTCATCGCAATTGCGATGCCCAGTTCGCAAATGCAAACTTTTTGTCGCAAATGCGACTTCTGCCAGCCCTGCCTTGTTTGCAAATTGCGAGGGTTCGCAATTGCGAACCCTGGGTCGCAAATGCGATATCTGAGGCTTGTTAAGTGAGATTTTTGACGGGATTTTCACCCATTTTTCAATTTTCTCAAATCCTAAACCTCCATAGGCGATTTTACAAAGACCCAAACTTCTCCAAATCATTGGGTAAGTGTCTCTAATCAATTTTCAACTATATTTTGTGATTATATCTTAGATTTAACATCAAATTCATGAGAATCTAAAGGAAAATGTGGGGAAAATTGTGAAATCTTTCAAAAATGTAAAATGATGATTTGGATGACCAAATGGCATCAGAATTAGATAATTTTTGTATGGGTGAACTCGTAGCGGAATGGGTGTTCGGTTTTTATAAATTTTGTCGGGTTCCGAGGTGCGGGCCCGGGGAGTTGACTTTTGTTGACTTTTTGCAAATTGTATAAGAATCATAGTTTTGTCAATTGAAATTGTTTTCTCTTGCATTGTTTGATGTATTCAAATTGTTTTCGGCTAGATTGAGCCGAGCATTGATGAATCGGTAAAGGAAAAGCTAAATTGAGTATTGGATTGGTCGGATTGGGGTAAGTATCTTGCCTAACCTTGTGTGGGGGACTTCCCCTGAGGGTTTGAGTCTTCTATGCTAATTGTAGTCCGTACAGGCGAGGTGACGAGTGTGTGCTCGGACTTATTTATGGAAAATTTGCCTCTAGGGTTCTTAGGTCCTTATGTTCATTATGTGCAAAGTATTCTGTCATGCTTGAGTTTCCTAATTGCTTAAATTACCTCTATATGCTCCATATGATGTTGCTAGCTTTCCTCTAATTCTTACGTGTTACTTGACCCCTAATTTCCTTAATTGAAGTGATTGCCTTCCTTATTATTTTGATACTTCTTCATTGTGAGTTCCTCTATGACTTTGTGCAAATATGTTACATGTCCATTTAGTATGGTTACCGGTGTAATTATCACGTCTTTATTATGTCTTGTTGCTTTGTTATGGCTAGTGTGCTTCTTGGTTTTTTTTCGCGATCCTTATTATGTACTATTCATGCTTGACTTGATGAGTATTCATGTTGGACCAGGCTTATGGTAATTCCTTGGTATTTGACCGTTGTTGAGTATTGACTCAAGTTGGGATTCACTTTGTGAAGTTAATTGTTGGAACGAGATTGGTTGTTGTTGATTCCCTTGCCGGGATGTATTTGTTTCTATTGTTGATTCCCTTGCCGTGATGTTATTGTTTATGATATTGTTTCCCTTGCTGGAATGTTATTGTTTATGATATTATTTCCCTTGACGGGATGTTATTGCTTATGATATTGTTTCCCTTGCCGGGATATTATTGTTATACTATTGTTCCCTTACCGGGATTCTTTGTGATTGGTGTTGATTCATATATTGGAATCGGGTTGCACGCCGCAACAATATTATATGGGATCGGGTTGCACGCCGCAACAATATTATATGGGATCGGGTTGCACGCCGCAACAATGTTATATGGGATTGGGTTGCACGCCGCAACAACGAGTAATAAGGGTGCAAAGGTGGGGTCGGGTTGCACGCCGCAACATCATTATATGATTTGGATCGGGTTGCATGCCGCAACATCATTATATGATTTGGATTGGGTTGTACGCCGTAACATCATTATATAATTTGGATCGGGTTGCACGCCACAACAGTATTATATGATTGGGATCGGGTTGCACGCCGCAACAAGAAAAAATAAAAGTGAATATTGATTGCATGGTGAGGATTGAGAGTTAAAGCACGAAGGGTGATGCCGTGCACTTTCTGTTTGTTGTGTTTATTTGTTGTTATTAATTAAAGTGTTTTAACTGTTTAGATTCCTTTACTGATGTGATCTTTTATGTTGGGATTCATAGTGTTTTCAATACCTCGCCGTATTTATATATACATATTTCAATACTTCAAATTTCAAAATTGTCACATTTTTAATTCAATTGGTTACTCAATTAAATTCCCTTAAACCGTTTGAAGTTGTAATTTACTTAAAAAAAGAATTTCTACTAAGTTAATTTATTAAATCCCGTGTTAAAGGTAATAATTCATTCGATGTGGTATTTTAAATTGAAAATGGTACTTTCTTTATTCAAATGATTTCTAAAAATAACTTCATCTTTTCTTGTTGAGTTCCTAATTGGTTTAGAAGCTGTACTCTACTTTATGTTATGTAAACGAGACTCCTGGAACATCTTAATTGCATTAGTTATGGGTCCTATGTACTGAGTAACATGAGAACGTTGTTGTATAAAGTGAGACAAAATATGTGGGCACAAGGTGCCAGGTGTGCTAAAGGTTTGGAAGTTGAGGTTATGATATGAGACATTGAGTTCTGAGATGGCTGGGGTTATGCACCAGAAAAGATATGATTGATTGAGTTGACACTGTCTTCCTTACTTGAGTTCATTCTACTTCTCTGTGTTCCAGCTATGTTTGTGTTGATTTATTCGGTTATTTCGTTTCCATCCGAGTTTTCTTTTATTATGTCGACTATTTGTAGATTGATTTATCCCTGCTATTGATATTATTTCGTTACCTTTATCTTGATATTTGTTATCATATCCTGTTCAATCTGTCTGACCAGT